AATGAATGGAAATCCAAAGTCTCTGTAAATTTTTACTGAAATTAATAATAAATTTAAATCTAAAAAAAAGAATATGTGTATGCATGTGTGTATATATTTGATTAAAAAACAATTTGTCATGTCAGTGCATCATGTTACAGTCTTACTGGTTTATTTTTGTCTGTTGGATTGATTTTCTTTTTATGTCAGTATGAATGTTGTTTAGGAACAGATTGAATCTTACCATAAGATTAAGGTTTTCTGTTCTGTTGGTTTAAAATATTTATTATACTCATGGTAATAATCTTAGTGATTACATTAATCTTGAATGTGTTAATTAAAGTTCCCAGAGACCTTGAACAAAACCAACTATCTTCAGTGCTTAAAAACTGTGGCTTTCTGAATTTTGGTGAACTTTGTTGTTGGGAGCTGTTCGATCAGCTCTGCCTCGTAGAGACTGCACAACCTAAATAAAGACAGTCCTCCTGTCTTTAGTGATGAAGGGAAAGCGCTGGTGGTTTCCTGTGATTTACATTCCAACATTCTCTGCAGAATGTTGGTATTTTAATCTCTAGTAATCATCTGTCCCTTCCCTTCCCCCTCTACTTTTCCTTTCCAACTCCCTTTTTTTGAGGCTCTCACTTTATTGGCCTAGAGCGGTATACTTTGGACTTTGTGGCTAGAGTACAGACACTCCAAAGAACAAAGTGAATGTCTGCAACTCATTTTATTGACTGAAGCGAATCACAGGGAGGCAGCAGGGATATATGAATACCTTGTGCAATTTGTTAATATTAACTCATTATTATCCATCTCCTATGTATCTAAATGAAACTAGCAGCATAAGAACTGATCTTTAAATAAATTTGTTCTTAGGCATTTGGAGTAAGTAATTTTAAATGTCTCAGTTGAAAAATTGTGCCTATCACTAGCCTCATTTTTTTTTCTCTTCTTTCCCAGCATGCTCATGCACATTCATCTGGATACTTCATAACTCAAGACTCTGCTTTTGGGAATCTTATTCTTCCAGTTTTACCTCGCCTCGACCCAGAATGAAGGAAATAATTTGTAGTGAAAGTGACTTTGTAATTTCAAATGCCAAAGCTACTTTCATTCAGTACTGACAAACTGTTACTTTGCAAATTTTGGTGAACTTTGTATATTGCTTTTTTAAGCAAAAGTTATTTGCAAGCAGAAGCATAAAGGAGTATATGTAACCAGGTTAACAAGAGTGTTGAAAGCTGTATCCTCTGAAGATATGACCTGTGACTGTGGCGCTTTTATAATGCAGAAATGTAATGCTTTTGATTTTTAAGTCAAACTCTGAATTAGTCACAAAAAATTATGTCCTGACATGTGGACAGGTGTATTTCTTGCCCACAGTGGACTGTCAGGAACCGTACATAGTACTTAATGTTAAAGAAATGAGGGTTTACCCAGTTGTTTTATATTACATTCATAATTGCTCTTCAGAGATTAACATCTGTGTAACTTTTGACTTTATAGTCAAGGAAAAAAATGCTGAAATGCTATTAAAACAATTTTAAGAAATGTGGTTATAAAACTTGTACATGTTTTTATTCAGTGTTGCTATTATGTGGTCTTATATTTTTAATTTAATTAAAAACATACAAGTTTGACCTCTTTTTAACTACTTGAAGTAAGGAAGAGTTAGGGTAACAAAGTTTCTCAGCATGAACCATCTCTAACAGAATCTGAGCTATTTAAATCTTATTTAAATATGCAGATTATGGACCCTAATATTGTCCTACATAATTATTGTTTGGTTAAGTGTTGCTAACTTGGTTCTGATTTACAGCAATGCTGTGTACAACAGCACGAAGCTGTTGTCACCATAATCTTGTGTGACTAAAGGCATCATTGCTGCCACTGTGTGGGCCCAACCTTGAGGCCTTTCTGTTTTTCACTGACCCTCCTTTTCTTTTTTTTACTTATTAAATTTTACTAGTTTTAATGAACATTTACAGAGATTTTGGGTTTTCATTCATTCATCGTTGCACTCTGACCCTCCTTTTCAAATACATCCTTCTCCAAGGACTAGCCCAACCTGATAACACACCCTAAGTATGTGAGATAAAGTCTCACCATCCTTGTTTCTATGGTGAATTCTGGCTATATTTCTTTCAAGATTGTTTGCTTGTTCTTTTGGTATCCAATGGTATATTCAGTATTCTTCACCAGCACCACAATTCAAAGGTGTCAATTCTTTAGTTTTCCTCATTCATTGTTCAGCTTACATGCATATGAAGGGAATGAAAATACCGTGACTTAGGTTAAGGATGCTTAGATTTCAAAGAGTCCTAATGATAATAAAAGTCTGAAACTGTGAGTTAGAGAATTACATAGTATATCTTATGTATACTTTTTATAATAAATTTATAAAATCACATTTGTAAACACCTGAAATTTGTTAGATGCCATCAAGTCATCTATGACTCAGTGACTCTGAACAACATGTCTGAACCTTGCCATATCCTATGCCATCCTCACAATCTGACAGGACAAGCCCATTGTTACAGTCTCTGTGTCAATCCATCTTAGTGAGGGTTTTCATTTCTTTTTCTGACTCTGCACCTTTCTCTGCATGATGTCTTTTTCAAGTACTGGTCCCTCCTCACAACATACCCAAAGTATGTGAGATGAAGTTTCACTGTCCTTGCCTGGAAAGAGCACCCAGGTTGTACTTTTTCTAAGATGGACTTACTTGTATTTGGCACTACATGGGATATTCAGTACTCTTCTCCAACACCAATTCAAAGACATTGCTTCTTCTGTCATCCTCTATTCATTTATAGCTTTCAGATTCATACGAACTAATTGGAAAAGACCATGGCTTGTATCTGGTACATGTTAGTATTTAAACTGACATCGTTGCTCTTTAGCACCTTGGAAAGATCCTTGACAGCAGATTTTCCCAGTACAACATGTCTTCTGATTGATTTTATTTTTTTTTTTACTGCTGTTACCAGGGATATAAAGCCTGAATCCAAATTAAATGAAGTCATTGACAACATCAGTCTATTTTGGGTAGTAGGACAGAATAGAAGCTTAAAACTTCCAGTTTGGGTCAATATGTAGTCAGCTCAACTTTCTTTTTTAAAAAAAATGTTTTCCCTGGATATTTGCATCAACCGCAAAGCAAGGGTGAAAATCCTCAATAGCAGCTGTGCCATTTGGATTTTTTTTCCCCCTCGAGAATTTGAACTTTATTTGGGCAAGTTGGTAACTGTTCCCATTATAATGCCCGTTGTAGAAGCAAGGGCATCGTTATTTCTGCTGCAGAGAAGTTCCCGGGGCCAGCCAACTATTCCTTGGGGCTCCTTAAGGTGATCTCCGTTGTCTTGAATTAATTTTACTAACTTTTCTGATCTATGGTGGGTGACATGGTTCTATATATACTCAGGTAAAGAGGATAAAAATTGGACTCTTAGGATTTTTACACTATAGAAACTTCTATTTAATACATGACTTTTGCAATTCAGGTAAAGATATTTTTATCCCCATATGGTATCTTTTTCAATTTCCTAGTCTTTTAAATAGATGTAGATTAAATCTCAATGTCAAGAAGACAAAGATTCTTAACACTAGACTGATAGGCAACATCATGATGGATAGAGAGTCTTACTTGGATCCATAATTAACACCCTTGGTACCAGAAGTAAGGTAATAAGGAGACATGTTGCACTGGGAGAATCTGCAGTTAGGGACCTCTCCAAATTACTGAGTAGTGATGTTAGTTTGAGGACTAAGTTGCACCTGAGTCAGGCTGTGGTCTTTCCAATCACTTGCTATGCATCTGAGAGAATAGGGATGGCAGAAGAAGAACTGATGCCTTTGAGCTGTAGTGTTGAAGAAGAAAGAGCACTGAATAATACATGGATGGCCAAGAGAACAAACAAATATGTCTTGGAGAGGGTGCAGCCATAGTGCTCTTGGGAGGCAAGGATGATGAGGCTTTGCCTCCTCTGCTTTGGACATGTTATTAGGAGGGGCTTCAAGTGGGACATAAAGGTGGAGGGTGGTGAAGGAAAAGAAGACTCTTGACCGGGTGGGTCGACTATGGTGACTGCCACAATGAACTCTTAGTGTGTCAGGAAGTGTGAAGATGGCACAGGGTAGGACAGGGTTCAGATTTGTGGTTCATAGGGTCACTATGAATTATACTTGACTCGAAAGCACCTAACAACAACAAACTGGAACCCTGGCTAGTCAGCTCTGTTCCTAAAGTAAAGTACACCTCCTTTATTCTGAGTCATTTAACCACAGTTCAGTTTCATTGTACTTATTAAAACTTACTTTAAAACACTGAGCTCCAGGAACAGAAAAATGTGTGAGGCAGTCCTTCCTCCTCTTAAAGAGGTTACAGTGGAGAGGAACTTATTCCAACACACAAGTCATTGTAAAGCAAGCCAGCATGCTGTGATTGGCATCAGCAAGGCGTCCTGGAACATAAAATTCGATTGAGCTCAGAAGTTTAGATACAAGTTTACTTGGTGAAGGAAGGAAGAACTGTTCAGGCAAGTTCAAGATTTCATAATAAAAAAGATAGGCACTAAAACACAAAGTAGGGCTGCTGAAGACAATGGAAAAGGCAGCAGGGGGATTACGTCAGAAGCTCTGCGTTAAAATCTTACCATTGCTTTCCTTGGGTTATGTGTGAATTTGGGTAACTTAACCTCTCTCTGCCTGTCATTCCACATACATATCAAATTTGTCTAGACAAATAGTTTCCATATTTTCAGTCCATTAGGAAGTTGAGAAGCCAAGTTAATGTTTAACAGAGGTGACCAATTTTTTTTAAAAATATAGACAGCAGAGTACATTGCTGTGTAAAAATAGTTTTGTTTCATGGATCTTGCATTTTTGTGTATGTGTTTTTTTTAGCATATAGTTGTGAGCTCTAGTGGATCAGTCCACAATGAGTTGGTTGCTGAGAGTCTGAACCACCTTGATTATGGTGAATTTTTTAGTAAATGTGAAGATGTTGAAGGAATGATGAACACGTATGCCCTGGGTTGTAATGTAAAATATTTTTTAAAATCTTTTATTGAGTAATATGACTAAAAAGCTTGAATGTCATTGCTAAATAATGGAAATGACAATATTTTCTGTAAAACTCTACTTTGCAAAGATGAGGCAGGAAAGTACAACATTGGAATAAAAAACTAAATGACCTGATAAATTGAGAGAGATTTCTCTCTCCCCTAGCAGTCTATGCGTTATTCTATTAAATTGTCTCAGTTCTGTGATTCACTTTGGCAACAGAAACTCAGCCTTTATGTGATTTTTTATTCTTTGTGAGGAATGGGCTTTGACAGATAGGGTTACATTGAACATAGCATCGAAAGACAATCCATTTATGCATTTTAGAATACCAACATGGAGCATTTAGCGCAACAGCAGCATCTTACTTAACTCTTATTTTATGAGAAAATAATGAATGTAGACTACGAGGAGGAGGAGAAGCAAGAGAACATAGTCCCTGTTCTCAAGATTCATGATCTGAACCAGCAAGACGCATGCACGATAACTAATACTCGGAACAGCCTGGTGAGGAGAGACTTGAATACATGGGTCTTCAGTTACAGGAGCACCAGTGAAAGCTGCATTAGAGAACAAGCGTTTGAAGTTGGCTTTCAGGAAGAGAAGATATCAAGAAAAAGAGAGCATCATTCAAAATAATGGAGACATCTGCACAAAGACAGAGGAGAACACGTCTAGAGGCCTCTGTGAACTGGATCATAGAGTTATATGGGGAGATAATTAGAAATGAGGCTAAAGGGAGGCCGGATTCACACCCTAGAGGGTCTTTAACTGAATATGCTTCTGGGAACTACTGAATATGTTTGAGCAGAGGCAGATGTAGAGAAGAACCAGTTCGGCCCATGGGAAAGGATTCTGTAGAGAATTCAAAGACAAGGTGAGTTATGTCTATTTCCGTCCTCCAACTTCAGCCATACCTCCCTCTTATTTTTGCTTCTGTTTTGTTTTTGGACCCTTCCCCAGAAATCCCTCTTTATTTCTCTCCTGGATCT